TTTCTAAATTATTATTTTTATTTTGTTTAAATATTGAATTATCTTCTTTAATAGATTCTTCAGATGAAGATAAAAATAATTCTATATGATATATTTTTAAGGTGATTTATTTTGCTTTACTTTTGCATTATCTTTTGCAACATTATTAAGAAGTTTTTGCTATTTATTGTGAGCTATATTTTTGTGTAAAATTTTGATAATTTTTAATATAATGTATACATTATTTTTTAATATTTACAAACTTAACCTATAGGCTTTATTTTTTCTAATTATATTAATACTAACTTGACATATTGCATATTTATTACATTTATTTGTTTTTTTATTTGTATATAATTACAGTATATGGTATTAAAAAATATGACTGATGATCATTTTTTAAAAGATAATCGTGAAAAAGAAATTAAAAATAAAAAAAATTTATATATTTACAAATGATTATCCATTTAACAAACTATCTTATAATTCAATATCTTTATTTATATTAATAAACTTGGTTAAGTCTTTGAATCCTATTTAGGTTAGGTAAGTAGAATCATTCTAGTTAAACGATTTTATTTTATTATTATTTAATAAGAATAATTTTGCTATTATTCTATGAGAATAATTTTACTATTATTCAACGAGAACAATTTATTATCATTTAACGAGAATGATTTTATTATTATTTAATAAGAATAATTTTATTATTATTCTATAAAAATGATTTTGCTATCATTTTATAAGAGTAATTTTACTATTGTTTAATTAGAAGAATTTTACTATTATTCTATAAAAATGATTTTACTATTGTTTAATAAGAACAATTTTATTATTATTTAATAAAAATGATTTTACTATTGTTCAATAAGAATGATTTTACTATTATTCTATAAGAATAATTTTATTATTATTCTATAAAAATGATTTTACTATCAATCTATGAGAACGATTTTATTATTATTCTAAGAGAACAATTTTTCTATTATTCTATAAGAACAATTTATTATTGTTTAATGAGAATGATTTTATATTATTTTAAAAAATGATTTTATTATCATTTAACGAGAATAATTTTATTATTATTTATTAAGAATAATTTTACTATTGTTCTAAGAAAATGATTTTATTATCATTCTATGAGAATAATTTTATTATCATTCATTGAGAATGATTTTACTATTATTCTAAGAAAATGATTTTATTATCATTCTATGAGAATAATTTTATTATCTTTTTAAGAGAATAATTTTATTATCATTCAATAAATATAATTTACTATTATTCTAAGAAAATGATTTTATTATTATTTAATAAGAACAATTTATTATACGATTTTAATTTCATTTAAATTTAAGTTAGACTAACATTATAAATTTGGTCAGAATTATAGTATATAAAATTATAATTTGCCAAAATTATAAATTATAGTCTATTTAAATTAGAATTAAATTGGACATCTCTATTAGATTTAAAGTGATTTAATTTTAATATTTCTTATCTTTAACAAGAATCAGAAGTTAACAACTGGACAAATTACAAGGAACTTATTAAGAAAAAATCTAAGATTTATATGAATATCGACATTAAGAATACCAAAAGGTAAAAAAAACTTATAGTGATATTAGTTATTAAGAATAAAAAGATCAAGAAGAAACTGATTAAGTTTAGTTTTAAAGTTTAAATATCAGTTTTAATCTATTCCTTCAAGTTCGTTAAAAAGTATTCTTAAGTAAAGTTTGTAAACTAGTAATTTGAGTATCTAAGTAATAAAATTTTATTAAGAAGTTGAGTAAAGTTAGTAGGATAGTTATCAGAATATTAGAGCAATTAATATCAAAAAATTTATTATATATCAGAATTACGAAAATCTGTAAAATTTGCAGATCTTTGCAATGCTAATGCAATTTTTAATAAAAATCTACAATAATTACAAAAAATCTCTTCATATTTTTCTAATGATAATTTTGTAAAAAATCTGAAATAGACTCTAAATTTGTATATTTATAAAGATCTTCATAAACAAATCTTTGAAAATCTTCAATTATTAAAAATAGACTTTTAAATGTAATATTATTTTATGATATTAATGATTAAAAATTAGTATTAATATAAGATTAATAAAGGGATTCAGCTTTAATCAATACTTTAGAAAGAGTTCTAAAAGGTTTACAAATAATTATTATTTTAAACGATAATATATATTTAGAATAAACTTTAAGAATTTTATTATAAAATAAAGAATTCAATATAATTATATTATTATTATTGTCTACCTTAACCAAGTCCTAAAGCTATTAAAGCTAATTATTTATACTAAATTTACTAATATAAATAAATAAAATACTAATTGATTATTAATAATAAATGATTAATAACATAAAAGAATTTTTTAGTAACTTCTAGGTATTTTGCGTAATTTTTGTTTAAATTATTTCTCTCATCTTCACTATCTTCATCATCTAATGTGATATAGTTAATGTGATTTTTGATCATGTGTATCACATTGTATTAGCTAATCTTTTAATTAATTTCTTCCTATTATAGTAATATAAACTTTCAGATAAATAAAAACTTCATTCACAAATTAATTTCAACTTTATTTTATTTTTTTGAAGTTGACGTGATTAAAATATATTTATTTAACAAAAAATAAAAAATAATTTTTTTTAAAGTTTTTTTTGAAGTTGGTATTGATAATAGTTTTAAAATAAGAATTTATTTAATGAAAAACAATTTTTTTTTTGAAACTTGACATAATATATACCTTTTTACTAATAGATTCAACTAGAATAAAATTATATTTTTTAATATAATGGAGTTGTAGATAATTGTAGAGGTTTAGTTCTATTAGATGAATATTATACTAATGAATAAAAGTAAGTTTATATGGTTCTACTGATGACTTTCAAAAGAATTTAAATATCAATAATACCTTTAAAGATATAATCTGTTAATAAAAGATACAAATAAAAAACTTTGTCAATCTTAGTTGATGTTCATTTACTTTATTATATTAAGCTCCTTTATCTGATTTGTATTGTTTTTGATCTTCTGCAGGAATTATAGCGATATTACTGAACTATTTTTTTCCTTGAAAGTCTCCTGTTATCCTTAAGAATTTACCACTTTTCAGATATATTAAATTGAAAACTTTAATATAAAAGTTATTACTTACATCTTTTAGTGATATACTATTTAAAAAGGTGTTTAATATTATAATTATCTATGATAATCCTTTTATAAAATTTGAATTTACTAAAGTTTCAGAAGTCTCAATCAGGCTTGTAAATCATGAGAAAATTGCTGATCAAAGATCACCTGACAGTATATAAAATTTTTTAATCTAATTTTTTATATAATGTCAGGCGATCTTTGATCAGCAATTTTCTCATAATCTACAAGCTTAATTGAGATGAAATTTAGCTTGTTAAAATTGTCACATTATGGAGAATCTGACTCCAATATCAGTTTTGTAGTAGTGAGCTTACTAAAAAAATTTTCTATGCTCAAAGTTTATTAAGTAAGAAAATTTGATGTAAATCATTAAATTACATAAATTTAGTATTATTAATTGAATATTAAATTTATATCAGATTATTCTTCAAGATTTAGACTTTAAAATAAATATAAAATTATGATTTTAGTCCTCATAGTTAACCTGTTATAAGCTTTTAAAAGTAACCAATAATACTTGCATTTCTTTTGTGAACTACTGTATATTAATATTTTCGTTCATTAAGAATCATTATACTTTGTAACTAATATAATTCAATAAGTATTGCTGAATATTATCTTTCTATTTAATGAGTGATAAGGATTTTTGACATAATATTTATAAAGAGTTTTGTAAGTTTCTATTGATAACCTATTCAATGCTTCATATTTATGAATTGTAGGAACTAAAGAATATTACAGTAAGATGTAGAAAACTATTATATTAATTTGTGATTTTAATAGTTAAAACTTATCTATGTGATACTTTTAACTATGTAATTTAGGAAACCTACATTCTGTTGAAGATAAAGATGAAAATATCATTTTAAATCTAATAATTATTGAATTATTGCTTTCTATTACAGTTAGTAAAAATATTAATATTGTGAAATTTTATTAATTTCAGCTTGCTAATTATTATAATTATCTCAAAAAATTTTAAATCATTTTAGTATAATTTTGTCTACTAATAATATATATTTTACTGAAATTTACATAAAGTTCGTAAAGTTCATTATAGGTTATTTTATTCTATTTATCAAAGATTCTATTTAATACAAAAATTGCAATTTTTATTATATGCCAGTAATTTGCAACAATCATTAATTTCAATTGGCTTAATTATTTAACAATTTAAAGTCAAAAAAGTGAAAAATTTTATGAAAACGTTGATTAAAATTTTTTTGTAATTCTATTTCTCCAACTTTTTTTAGAATTTTCTATATAAATTCTAGCTAATATTTAAAAAGCTTAAGATTGATGTAATACATACAATCTGAAATACAAGATTTGTAAATATTCAAATTTTTGTAAAATTTATTTTCAATTATTAGTTCAGTTAGCTAAATTAATCTGCAATTATTTTTAATAATGATAGTTATAGAAATTTCCAGAAAGTATTTTCAACAGAATGAATAGAATAATCTTTATTTTAGCTATTACTTATAATTTTCTATATATTTTTATGATTCCTATAATGTATATCTTTTGAAATATTATTAATATTATTTAGATCATTTTGTAATACTATACAAGCAGAGTTGGCATTGGCCATTGGTCTGGTCAAAATTGACCAGCCAAAATCTGATTAAATTTATAAGAAAATTTTTGGCCAGCCAAAAATTATAATATATATGATTAAATATTAATTAACCAATCAAATTTTAGAATTTTTAAAAGAATTATAATTTTAAAAATTAATATATTTATTTTATTCAATTATCAAATAAAGTAGGAAATTCTAAATCTTTAACAAACAAATCAGTTATTTGCTATTTAGTATTTATATTAATAGTAGAATGAATTTAATTATATATATAATTGTTTTCTTCATTTCTTTCATTCTCATTATCTTCATTATTCTCATCATTTTCATCATAAAAATTATCAATATTTTCTTGTCTTTCTAATTCATCTCTTAACATCCTTTCCCATTCTATTACTATTTGATTCCAATTAGAAATTATAATCTCCGAATTATTATTTAATCCAAAATTATCATTATTACTATTATCTAAATCTAATAATTCATTTTCTTTAAAAATCATTTCTTTTTCACTTTTTTCGTCATTTATTAAAATATATTCATTAGTATTATTAATCTTTCTTGAAATAATTTGATCCTTTTTTTTATATTCTTTATTAATACAATTCTAATAATTTATTATTGCACATAATTTACTCATATCTAAAGCCTTCTGGAACTAAAAATTTTAATAAATTAATAAATATTTTTATTTAAATAAAAAATAAATTATAATTACTTACATGTAATCGATTTTGACGATGTGTCTTATACAAGACCAAAGTCTTTCTATAGAAGCAAAATTAATACAAATAGCAAAAAGTCATTATGTAATAAAACTTAATTCTTTAGCTTTAGGTCTTATTCATATACAAAATCCCAAAACATCACCAGTAAATTGCTTTAATGATTGTTTATTAAATGAAAATTTTATACCAATCAAATATTTTTTAAATTCACATAAAATTGAATTAAATCTTTTTTTAACCATATTTTATAATAATATATTAACCATTTTGATAGATACACATGATTTAAATTTTTTAATTTTTGATTTAACTTGTCTAAATGATAATTAGGATGAAGTATTTAAGATAATGAAAGTAAAGGTTGCTTTCAATCATACCATCTTTTTTATAATCATTAAAGCATTTTTTATCCTAATTTAATATTTTTATATAATTTTTAAAAGCTAATGAAGTATCCAAAACCATGAAGAACTTTATGTAAACAAGCCTTATCACATTGCAAAATGTTAAGTATATTATAAAATAGATGAAGCAAAACTTTAAGTTTTTGAATTTGAATCTACTAATTATTATCAAGAAGTATATTGATGATTTTTTTAGTAAAGTTAAGTTAGTCTAATTGTTTCAATGATTAGTACTTGATTTAGCTAAATTATCTTATTCTTCAAACTTATATGCTAATAATTAGTAAAATACAAATAAAATTATTATAATAAAATTATAAATTATAAATTATAATGTTATAAAATTTCTTACCTAAAGTGCTGATTTAGATTTTATAAGTATTTGATAATATTCATAATAACTATTCCAACGAATATCTTTAGGTATTGCTAAATATATATAATCTTCATAATTTTCTTTTTGTAGATCATGTAAATTACTGATAAAATACTTGTTATTTAAATTATGAAAATAAGATATAACTAAAATTGTATTAGAACTTGCTTCTTTAAATGAAACTGAATCTTTAAAAATTTCTAAAACAAATAGATTCATTTGATATGCAAAACATGAAAAGTAAACAGTTTCACGATATATAAGGTGAAAGCGATGACCAAGAAAATTTTTTTATTATTAAAATTATATATTAATTATAAAAATACATTAAATTATTTTTAAATTACTAATTACTGAGTAGCAGCATAAACTGCAGTACTTTCTGTGACTATAGCAATTAAGTTTGCTTTCATTTGCATGTATTCATAAAGCATTTGCTTAATTTTTTTTATAACCTCCTCTTTTTTTTCTCTTTCACTACTAATATCTTCAGCTTCCTATACTAAAACTTCACCTTTTGAAGTAACGAAAACTGATTCTAAAATATTTTGATCTAAAATATTTGTCTATTTATTAAAAGATAAAGTGACCCTAATAGAATTATTTTGTACTTTATTTTCTAAATCCAACTTTATTTTTGTGTAGTTTTTTGTAAAATCTGACCTTCAAGAGTACGATAATTAAGAAGTTCTAAAGTAGGATTAATAAAATTAAAAAGTTCTTTCACTTTTTTATTTTCCACTTATTGTAAAGGTATTCCAGCTAATACTGTTGCATTTAAAACTAAATTGTCAAATGTGTCCTTATCTTTTTAGAAAAAGGATGAAAAATAAACTGAACAAGTAGTTCTAAAAGAAAAAGCATATAAGAAGGTTTTGTATTGATTCGTTTATCTATAATATTTTTAAAAAATTATTTTTTATTTGTAAAATAATGATAAAAAAATAAATATTAATATTTTTACTTACTTGAAGTAAATTTTTGTTCATTATGTGGTCTCTTAGTATTAATTGAAATAGAAACTGGATCTTTACATATTTCTTCATTTTCTAAAACTTCATCTATCTCATCTTTAGAGAACCAAGATTTAAAGTTGTCACATTTTTTTAAATGGTTTAAAATCTATTTATTCTTATTTGAGAATCTTTTTTCAATAGCAAATTCATTATTAATAACTTTTATACAGCTAATATAAATCACATAATTATACTATTTATCTGCTTTTTCAAGTAAAATCTCAATGTATTTTAAAAGATTTTTGCATTTATTCATTACCATTGAAAGTTAAAACAAAAAGATAAAAAAAAGTTTAAAAAAAAGATTATCATTTGATTAATCAAGATCAGCTAAATCAGAAAATCAGCTAAAATAATAACCAAAATAATGGCCAAAGATCGTTTGGCTATGACCAATTGCTAATGAACTTTGGTTAATAATTTTGGCTATTAATATTGGCCTATTGGCCAAATAAATTGATTGATCACAGCCAATGCCAACACTGTATACAGGTATAGCATAGTATTTTACATTGAGTTGATTTATATGTTACAATTATATTATTAGCCTTTAGCATATTTGCAAGAAAAATGAAAATTCATATAACAAAAGTTTTTGTTTGTAACTTGATCTTGAAGTTTAATACATTAGTCTTTTCTAATAAAGGTCAAAGCATAATTTTAAAACATTTATGATATACTTTATGTTGTAAGTTTCAAAAGATTTTATTGACTTTAATTTTTAAATCTTGTACTTTAAAAAGAAATCTCAAAAGAACTTTTACTTCAGGTAAATTTCAAAATCTGTTTGAAAGATTTCTAAGTGTTAAGAAAATTGGATGTCTTAATACCTTTTTTAGTTTATTCAAAGTTATAATATCTAAATATAAAATAATGAAAAGTAAGTTATTTTAGGGGTGAAAAGGTCTTTTCTGTCTTTAACCATCAGTTACCTTCATATAATTCTCTGAATATCCTTATTCCTTTATCTTCTTTTAAGATTCCTTAATAATAAAATTCTCAGCTATCTTAAATTATTATAAGAGGACTTAGATTGTACGAAAAATTGGTCGATAATAGAGAGTAAATTTTATTTTATCATATGTTATAATAACTTTTTTTTGAAGTTTAATGAAGGTGATATTATTTGATTAAGAAAGTATTTACTTTTTGTTGAATTTGACAATAGAGATTTGTTTAAAGCATTATGATCATTGAAGAACTTTATAATTTTATACTCTATCTTATTAAATATATTACCCTCTATTATTAACTTCATGAAATCATAATAAGTATCATTTGAATATTTTATAAAATATTTTTTTTTTTACTTTAATAGTATTTAGGGTGTCATCTATTGAAGCTCTCTTAAGATCTTCAAGATTAAAATTAATATCTTTGATATTTAATAATAATTATAACTTATAATCTTTTTTATTATCATTATCATCATCATTATCTATATTATTATTCTCTTTGTTATTCTCTTCATTTCTTTGACTTTACAAGTTATATTTTAGTTTATTTAATTCACTTATAACATTTAATGAAGTTTTCCCAAAAACTATATCTTTAAAACTTATATCCTCTATCTTATCATTGTTAACTTGTGATATAAGATTTTATATAGGATTTTCTACTGTAGAAATTAGCTCTTGTTTAAATACTACTTTTGTAATTGATATATTCTATAAATTAGCATTATGCTATAATCTTAATATTTGCTAGCGATCATTGATAATGAGGTCTTAATTCATTTAGTCAAGATATTGTTATTCTTTTATTATGCTTAGCATTATGATGTTATATTAATTTATAATTAGTAAAAAAGTATCTTTTACAGATTTCACAATGAAATTTTTTAACTATCACTATATATTATCATTAGAATTTAAAGTGAAAAATCTATTTTGCATTAATAATTAAACAAGTCATATGATATATTCAGTTTATAATGTAAGATTTATTTTTTACAAATATTTTTATTAACTTAATTATAATTATAATTTAAATATCACTATTTACTATTTTCTTTACTAGCTAGTTAATTTTGATTGTAATCAAATTTCAATGATCATTTAATTTTTTGAATGTTTTTAAGATATTTTATTTCAATTAAATTTAATTTAACAATTACATAGTCTTGAATAATTAAAAATTCTTAATAATTACTATATATTAATTATTTTTTATAGAACAATTAAAATTTTTAACAATTACTATATATCAATTATATAATAATACAATCAATTTTTAGTAATAATTATTTTAGAAACTTTCATAGGTTTTCAAATATTTAAATAATAAGTTTTTTTTATTTTCTTATACCTTCAAATAAATTTTAACTAATATATTAAATATATTAAAAAATCTTATTATATTAATATTGTCGTCAAAAAAAGTAAACAGGCCAAAACGTCTTATGATAATTGTAATTCTCAAAGTGAACTTCTTTCAGAACTAAAAAACTACAAGAAAAAGCCTTTTAATCTACTGAAAATATTTTTTCTCAAATATTGTTACATAGTAAGTAATTTTTGATTACTTATATAAAGTTAATATCACAATTGATCTTAATTTTTTATTTTAAAAAGAGACAATTTCTCTAACTAATATTCCTATCTCAAAAACTCCAACCTTCTCTCAAGTTTCTTCTCAAGTATCTTTTTAAATGACTTTTCCAGTATCTCCTAATTGTAGAAAATCTATTATTTCTGCTGATACTAATATAATAATTAATGATCTTAATACTAAATCTAAGTGTTATCATGAAGATGATGATAATCATGATTCTCTACTAATTAATACAGAATTTTCCTTATTATAATTAGTCTAAAAAGATAGATTTTATCTAACTGTCAAAGAATTCAATTACATGATGTCACTATTGGATAATAAATTAATACCTTATATAAATTATGTAAATATAATGCTCAAAAATAAGAAGAAATTTTGACTATAATAAAAAAGCATGCTGCTAATAATGAATTATCAAATAATTTTTAAAATATAAATTTTTAACATTTTCTACAATATATTTTAATTTTTAATTAATTAAAACAATTTATTTATAATATACTTATAAAGAAGTTTCAAAGCAACTTATATTACCGTATAGTACTGCATAAAGTATCTCCTGAAAAAAATATTTCCCTTAATTAATATTAAGATACTATTTAATTACAAATGCTGATCTTTTTGAAAAATACCCTAGTATTAATCAAAATAACCATTTAAATTTATTTACTTGATATTTTAATTAAAAATAAACTTTTAAAATAAATATTTGATTATATAAAAGATATTTATTAAATTGATTACAAAAAAAACCTTTCAATTTAGTTATACAATCAAAATCACTAATTATCCCATACATTAGTATGATTTACTACTTATTCATCATAATAATCATTCTTTTTAATATCTACTCTATGATTTTCATTATTTATTTCTATTCTATCATCTAATCGATTTAATTATCTAAGACAATTATAATCAAAGATTAATTCATCTTCTGTTCTATTACGTTTATTAGAGATGCCATAACATTTAAAAGATCGTTAAATTAAATTAACATCAATAGCATTCCATGAATTATTAACCCAATTTACTACAGTTTCATAGGAAAGTCTTTTAATATTACCAGCAGGTGTTAATTCCTTTATAGAATCAGCCATCCAATTATTATAATTTCGTTACATCTATAAAATAAAATAAAAAATAAAAATAATTATTAAATTTATTTTTTAAAAATTAATATATACAATATACAATATTAAATTTTTACTTTTGTTTTAAATGATTTATTTACTAAAATATCTAAAAGTTGTAGATGAGATATTAATCCTTCAGGAATAACAGTAAGATTGGTATTTTTTTTGCCAAAATGCCTTTTTACAGAATTAACAAGATGTGCAAAAAATGAATCTAAAACTAGCAATGATTGTGGATTTGAAAGTCTTGCATATTTCATCTAAAAATTTTTAATTTAATAAAGCATCTCATTTTCATTTATCTATCCAGTTGGATTAGCTCAAACAATAACTTCTTGTGAAAAATTACCTTGTAGAACTTTTTTAAGTTTGAAAATTATAAGAGAAAGGAGTTTAGTTCTATCAGCCATATAAGTTAAAATTACTATAAAATTAGTTTTTTCATGTTCTATTATATAAATACTAACAGATTACATTTCTATCTCATCAATAGTAATATTACTTGGCAAATCAAATGTCATTGGAGTTTCATCTATATTGCCAATTAATGCTAAGGGATAATCATGCTGAATGCATCTATATATAATAAATGCCAAAAATTTCTTTGCTTTTCAATTAGATCATTTGATAAACATTGTACAATAGTAGTATGATGACGATTATTTAGATTATTGCAATTCATTAAACCATCTACCTATTTATTACTAAAAGCAAAAGATTGAATATTAGAATATATGGCTTGCTATTGACTTTGTTATGCAAATGCTTTGCCTTTCAATTGTATCATACTTCACGAAACTGTATGTTAATTATTTTTTTTTTTTTATCTATTCAACCAAAGCAGTTTCTAAAGTGGGATATTTTGGAGGTAAACCTTTATTTAAACATTTTAAACCTAGTTGAGCTTTTAAAAGTTGTGATTTTTTAGATATCCAGTCTTGAAGTTGCTTTGTTTCAATATTAAATTTAGCTGCAGTCTTGTTTTTGCTATGATCATTTTCATGATATAAAATAACTGCTATCTTTTTATGCGCATTCCATTGCCTTTGTATCTTTTCTGTTATAGTTATATAATTTATTCTTTTGTTTGCACACGAATTTATTAAAAAAAGAAAAATTTAAGTTGTTTAAGTTGTACAAGTTGTAAAAAGTTGAAAAAAAAAACACAAAAAAAGTTATGAATAAAAAAATTGTATATCTTATTTAACAAAAAATTTCAATAATATTATTTGATCATTTAAATCGTGAATTGTTAAAATATAGAAAATGAATTTTTAAAAT